TGAGTCAAATAGAAATAGACGATAAAGCCGTTGTTAATATGAGTTTTTCAATGAAGGAGTGGCTTAAAGCAACAGTCCAGGCAGGGTTTCAACTACTTGGTCATTAGGCGGTCAAAACATGCCCCAGCCCAACTAAAGTTTATAGGAAATGTCTTTAAGTTCAAAACCTACCTCTAAAATGCGCTGGAAGGGGTCGAAGTCCTCTTGGAGGGGGCGGATCACTCATACCGAGGCGGATCGCTCAACATACGCTGTGCAGAGTCCGTGCTTGACTAGCGGTCGTTGCGGGACCTGTACTCTGTAGGGGAGAGTCCAATCGTTGAACGGCAGGGCATGTCCCTGTCTAAGCCCCAGTTGGGCGTTTTCTTCACTTTTTCTCTTTACGTTCGACCACTTTTCACCTACAACTTCCATATAGGTGCTTTTGGCCCGCAAATTCGTTCCTGGACTGTTGCTTTAAGTTCCAATAGTGGAACCCCTACCCACAACCTACTATCGAGGAATTGTTGACCCATAAGGAACCAACTTACTTGTCACAATTACGTGCAGAGAGCTCAGGGCAACGACCTGGACGACTGGAAGGAACGCATTCACATTGGAAACATCCACGTTCATCCCGTATCAGACCGGCCTCACATCGCAGCGGGCAGTGCTCAATCGACGGACAAGCTACCGGCATTGTTAGTAGTAGTGGTTCTGAAAAATGATTATCAATCGCTAAGCCCGATTGGGGGGCCGGGCGCCCTCATTCTAAGTGATTAATCCAGGCTTATAGGGCATGTCGGACTTACCGTCACACACAGGACAGCACTGTCCTTCGACTTTACGTGGATTTTCGCATTCTGTGCTGCACATGTGTTTCTCACATACCGGAGTACCGTCTTCCGAACAAGTGCATCTGAAGTGCTGCTTTGAGAAACTCTACAGAACATTTCAAAACCTTGAGCTTCTCACGTGGTGCAGTCGTCCTTCTGCCAACTTTCGTTTTTACGCTTCTTCTCGAGTTTTTCCGTCTGACATCCGACACACACCGGACAACATTCACCGTCCGGTATCACGATCCACGAGCACTGTGCTTAAAAGGAAACTGTTTGACAATGAGGACCGCACACAGTTCGCGAATATCCAGATCTTTGCGTTTTTCTCCTCCAATAACAACCCATTAATATTTTGAAGGACAGTATCCTAGGAAAGTAAGAATACCTCTTGGAAACGCAAAGAAAGTGTTGAATGGATCAAGCAAAACAATTTTCCACCAAGTGGCCATGGGATGCGCTACGTGCATAACGCTGCCAGCGATGGGGTTGAAGTCTGGCCAGGAATTTCCAAGAGCACAGCCAATGGCACGTGTTTCAACTGCTATAACATCTTGGGTCTTAGTAAATTAGAGAGAGTGGCAAGCATTCATGGAAGACTTAAAGACACCTTCCACGACCAACTAACAAGTTTGAGTACGTCTAACATGGGAGCAAAATAATACAATGCGCAAAGATCAAGTCGACTTTGAGTCTCGATGGTGAGTGACTAATGCAGTGGCAGGGTCTCATGAAAGTGAATCCGCCGATAAGGCTCGACACCGCTCATCTGTGGTAGCTTTCCCAGGCAAAATGGGCATGCGATTAACTGTGTAGTAGGGGATCTCAACAGTAAGGTAAAAACGATTCTAACAGAGTCGATACCACTTGATTTGATTAGATATTAGCAAATGAGAAGTCAACAAGCGCAAAGTTTCTCGCCACTGTTATCAAACATTTTCTGGAATCGACTGCGAAAATGAGGGACTCGGGTTGAGCGTATTGTTTTGCTTCCCTTACGGATCATGGATTGAACCTCACATTCACTTCCATTTTTTGGCCCTGACTCGCTTTATCCAGGGCTATCCTGGGAGAGAAAAAATGACTCATTCTAACGAAAAAAATCTCACCAGGTGTTTTGGGACATGTCATTTTGCTACAGTACGGCTACTCGCTTTCTTCACAATACGACAATACTTTCACACGATGGAGGTGTGCCAATTCTTGGTACCCATCCGAGATACGGTTTTCCGCAATTCACGAAAATACCACTGATTTTCGACTCACACAATGAGAAACCCCCGTAACTCTCGCACTGAATTTAGTGGTAACCACACTGAATTCAGTCCTAACCATAAGTTACCAAAAGCACGCAGCTAATAAATAATCAAATTTGAAATCTCAAAAAGGTTGAAAACACCAAAAGGCTGGTAGGATGAAAAAAAAAGTTTAGTGGTCCTCTGACGAATTCTGATCAATCAATCTACTTTATGTTAGGAGTGAAAACCTACAAGTAACTGCGGATCGTCTTCGCACTTCCATTCATCGCAGCATCGTCCTGGTGTTCCAGTACCCTTTCGAATGATATGTAGCCGCTTGCCTTCATCACAGACAGCTGGGCGACATACGGCTGCTCGACATCGACATCTGAAGCGGGATATTATTATGCGTTTTTGAGTGGTACAACTGTTCCCGAACAGAATATTCCGTTATAGGATCCCCTGTCCACCTATGGCGTTTTGAGACTATAAACAACTAGACCGCATCTAATCATTACCCAGGTCTTATAGGGCAGCACATTCCAGGTGGTACATGCTCGGCAGGACGAATACTGTCCGGTGGGCAATCAACGCCTTCGTCTTCGTCGAACACTTGTGGTGGACAGCGGAACGATTCGCACTGAACTTCTGAAAAACTGTGATTTTGGGAGGACTTTGGTAAAAGGCGCTAAGCTACGTTAATAAGGATAAAGGATAAAGCATTTGCCGTTGATCAATCCCTTTTTGGGATGCGGCACGCATTCTACTTCCATTTGTACATTCGTAGTGGCGTTTGAATGCGATGTGGCCTATACAATGACTTGCGGGGGCCAGCCGATGTACAAGTCAGTGTTTTTATCCTCCCAGACAAGTCTGGTACCAATTAACCGACCCCGGAAGGCTTGGTTGGCCCGGGCGACTCACGACCCAGGATTTGATCCCCGGACCGCTCGCGTGGTAAGCGTGCCACTTGCCACTACACCACTTCCGCCCACCATAAGCTGTACGTTAGGCAAAACTAATTAACACCTTTCAAAT